CCATTAATGAGGCATCGGTAACTTTCAGACTAGAGGAATATCCTGTTCCTCAAGAACGTTTCAGCCACTGGTTTTAGCATCCACTGATAATCTTTTCCCGTATTAGGAGTTTATAAAATGGTGATTGTCTAATTTTTATCATTTTCTCGTTCCTTTTACATTTATGAGTTGATGGTGTTCTACAGAGAAGAGCTTTCCATGACCCGTCCCTGTCCACCCCCCTCCCAGCAGCAGGCTCATGGGGTTTAACATGTATTTCATATGTTAGAATCACCATCCTTCTATGTCCATGAGTTTTTTTTTTTTATTTCTGTGACTGTATGTACTTTTCAAAACTGCCCATTCTTTTTTTTATAGTATCTGTTTCTTTTCTAATGATTTCCATTCCTGTTAAAGAAGTTTCCTTACTCTAATTACAGCCTCTTTTAGATTGTTGTTCTATTATCTCAAGTTCTTGGGAGTCCTTTTTGCTGTGTCACCTGGCTTTCTCTTATGGTGCATGATTTTCTCATATCTTTACTAGTTCTTTGTTTTGAGCATATTTTCAGTGGCACTTAAAAAAAATCTCTCTCTCTCCTGGGAATCTTGTGTGACCTGCTTTGTAGAAGTGCCCTTCCAGATAATTTTACATTGCTTTAGTTAGGGGTGCTGGGCTATCCCTGTCTTGGGAAAATTTTGTGTTATAGTCTGGATTCTTGTGCCACATTAGTGGGGTCAGTTTGGACTCCATTCACACTGGATTCTGAGTTGCCATCAAATAGAATTTATAGTAAGTAGTCAATATCTTTATTCCCGTGGGACACCTTTCTTTTATACTCCATAACTAATTTAACCAAGTATCCAGTGTCAAACATTGAGGAAGGAGCATCTCCTTGTCTTTTCATGTTAAGAGCTAGTGAAATATTCGGAGTGTGGGGCTGCATAAGCAGGAGAGCATCTTCAAAACTAGTGTGGCCCAGGCACTCCAGGCCTCTCAGAGCCCCTGCACCTAGTCGTGTCCCACAGTGATGAGCATGCCCAGGCTTCCCCCGAGGTACAGAAGAGGCACCTGATGCCCACAGAGGGGAAATGACTTGCCCAAGGGCACGGGGGTGGGGGTTGGGGGGAAAAGGGACAAGAAGTCAGGTCTGTGAGTAGCTCTTCCCACCTCACCAAGATTCAGTTACCTGGGATTGAGTCCTGGCCCCATGGAGCCCCAGATATCCACAGTGCCCTGGCCCTGGCTTCTCCCTTGGGGCCACAAAAGGAAGGGACTTTGAGTGGGAAGTGGTGACCTCAGACACGGCAGACAAGCTGGGTGTCTACAGCCAGGCTCCCATGGATTTACTGGATGGACACTATGACACATGTCTCTGGGTTATCTGCACCATCAAAAGTATTTTGAATCCTTAATTTATCTTGTTGTCATTGTTTTCCATAATAGTTTTCACTCAAAGGCAAGAACATGCTTTTAAACTGACCTTTTAAACTTTGTAATGCTAATGCCACAAAGGGACACATGAAAGGAACAATAAGCACATTCCCTAAGTGTGAGCATAATTGAAGTCTCCTCTGGTGATGAGATCTATGGGAAACGGGCCACAAAGCATCTGAGCTGGGCTTCTGCAGCTGATGGATGGCGCTCTGGGTGGAAGTCCCATGACCGGGGAGAGGCCCAGCTGTACCCTTTGCAGTGGGAACATCATCTCCACCCTCTGGCCATGGCTCTCGGCCACCCACGTGCCGCAAGGCTTTGCCCTCAGGAGCCAAGGGGGCTGCTTGGGAGGTTTGGATTTTGTGCTGTGGTCTATAGGAGGCCATGGAGGGCTCTGGGCAGGGGAAGGAAGCATAACATAGAAGAAGGAACGAAGGAGAGCAATTGGAGCCAGGGGCCGGGGTTTAAGTTCTGGCTCCAGCACTTCAAAGTTGTGTGACCTTGGGTGAGTCACCTCGCTTCTGTGAGGGTCACTGTAGTACTCAGCATCTATTTACGGAGCGCTGGCCGGGTGCTGGGCACGCGGGGTACAGAGGTGACGAAGAGCATCCCGTAGTCCTTCGTCCCTCCTTGTGATTTCTCTCACCGTATGTATTAGTACCCCATGGCAGCGGTCACGAATTCCCACAAACTTAGTGGCTCAAAACAATGTGAATATATAATCTTACTGTTCTGGAGGATCAGGGTCTGAAGTCAGTTCCACTGGGCTAAAGTCAAGGTGTTGGCAGGGCTCGTTCTTTCTGGAGGCACCAGGGGAGAATCTGTTTCTTTGATGTTTTGGAGCTTCTCATGGACACCCCCATCCTTGACTTGTGGCCCTCGTCCATATTCAGAGTGCATCCCTCCAGTCTCTGCTCCTGGCATCACCCCCCTCTCCTCTTCCCTGTCAAATCTCCCTGTGCTTCCCTCTTACAAGGACGCTTGTAATTACATTGCTCCCACTTGTGTAATCCAGGGTACCCTCATTCATCCTAAGATCCTTAACTTAGTCCCATCTACAGAGTCCTTTCTGCCATATAAGTACCATTCACAGGCTATCTTTGGGGGCCGTTATTCAGCCTACCGTTCCATGTCAAATTGCAATTTATGTTTGTTTATTTTACATGCCTGGGTCTCCCTTCGGCAGGGAGACAGGCCTGCCAGATTACTGCCACATGTTTGCTGGATGAGTGGGTGAGGAAGTGAATGAATGCATGTTCGGAGTTGAGAAGGAAGTGACGTACCACTTGGGCTGTAGAGGATGAGCGTGAGTTTGCCGAAGGATATTCTAGCCCAACTGAAGGGCTTATGAGAAGGTATAGAGGCAGAGGCTGGGAAGCTCAGCATTGCAGGGAATGTGCGTGGAGTGTGAGGGTGCAGAGGGAGAGGGGGCTGGGGTGGTAGGTGGCTAGCTCAGAGATAGCCTGTAGGGCACCTTAATGGGCCTGGATTTGATTTTATTTTAGTTATTTATTTTTTATTTTTAGGTAATCTCTACACCCAACATGGGGTTCAAATTCACAACACCGAGATCAAGGGTCACATGCACCACCGACTAAGCCAGCCAGGTGCCCCTCCTGGATTTTAGTTTTCAAAGAAGCAGTATATGTGGTGGTTGCTGCCTTTGTCTTTGGGGTCATTGCCTGGGTTCAAATTCCTAGGCCACCACTTACTTGCTGTGTACTGGGAGAATTACTGGATCTCTGTGAGGCTCAGCACAACGGTTCCTTCATAAGGCTGTCCTGAGAAGCAGATGGCTTTTGTTGCTTGCAAGGCACTCAGCACAATGCCTGGAACAACCAAAGGAGTCAGAGAGTATTTGCTGTTATTATTGTCATTTTTATAAATATTACTGTTGGTGGTGGTGATGATGATGGGGAGCCCTTGAAGAATTTCAGCCAGGCTGTGGCATGGTCAGATTTATTTTATAGAAAGATGCCTTTGATACCCCTGTGAAGACGTGGGGGGCCGGAGTGGGGCGGGACATCACACTGGGGGTCGGGAAACCAGTGAGGAGGCTATTCCAGTGATCTGGGTGAGAAAGCAAGAGGCAGAGAGCAGAGACAGGTACAAGAGAGATGTTCTTTCCTTTGGGATGTTCCAGAGATGTCTTTGCTCCTGCTGTTCCCTGCTTGGATGTTTCAAGGCAGATGTTAGAGGCCACTTAGCACCGTGCCTCAATCCTCACTTTTCAGAAAGGGGGAGGCATCTTGCCGTAGTCTCCGGATGGAATAGTGACAGAAGGGACAGATAGAGGTGGGACTCGGGTCCTCAGCCTTTAGTGGCAGAGCCAGTGGCGGTGGGAGGGGTACGTGGACAGAAACTTCTGGTGCAGGTGCAGTTTCTCATTGCCGTGGTCGTGACCCAGCATCTGCACTGCCTCCCCCTTCACCTCCTTCTACTGCCCCTCCAGGCCTTAGATCCCCTTTCCAGCTTGTGTTTTTACCAGTCCCCAAGAGAACGCTTGCCGAATCCTGGTAGTGTAGAGACATAGGAATTTTGCGGTTTTGAGTTGAGGAACATGGTCTTGACCCGGTAGGAGAGGATTAGGGCTGCCTGGGAGGGTGGGGGAAGGAGCTCTGTGTTGCAGCGCTCTGGGCCAGAGCAAGAAACTCGGAGTCCGAAGCAGTACATGCTCACAGATTTGGTACCGTGTGTCCTCCGCGGTCTTCCACTCACACCCCTTCATACATCTTCAGGAGGAAGCCAATTCAATAGAACGTAGCATGGCAAGATTGCGATTGTTACTTCAATCATATCTTACCCTGCAAGGATGTTGGAGGAAAAGATATTTCAATGCCACATTCAAAAGGGCTGTCATTTTTTTAACTTAGTAAATGGGTTTTCAGAGAGTGAGGTAATATTGTTATTCTTAATGCATTCTTCAAAAAAAAAAAAAAAAGATTTTTCTTTAGTCCAGATTGATGCATGCTGGAGGGAAGAAAATATCCAGAGAGCTAAAATACAGGTGGGCCGTGTTGAGAAAGTTCCACATGTACATACCTGAACTTATAAATCAGTCTCACAGAACAGGCTTTTGGGGCATTTTAGAGGTTTCTTAGAAATGGCTGCTGATGGCTTTACAAGAAAGCTGGGAGAGAAAAGAAACAAAACAAAAAAGAAAATAGAGATGTGATGAAAAACCTGTGCAGTGATGACAAGCACTTGATTTGCGTGTGCGTATAGGTATGTGTGTGTGTTTTCTAGCAGTATCACGGTGACATCACCAAGACACGCTCGCATTTGGTTCTGGGCAAGTGCCAACCTACAGGATTTATCCACCTGTATGGCTGGTGTGCGTATGTGTGTGTGTCCGTGAGAACACAGAATTGAAAGGCACCCGGGAGGCCGTTTGGTCCCATCCAGGGAAGGACCCTGTGGTGCAGAGAGGGAGAGTGGCCGTGCAGGGCATACACGAATGGCAGGGCCCGGCTAGAGAGAACCGTCCCTCCCCTGTACCCCCACCCAGTGCTCCCTGCCTTCTTCTCTGCTGCTTGTATTTCGGGTTCATTTTCCTCTGGTACATTGACATTTTCTTTTTTTCTAGGAAAAATCAGTTGCCAGTGCCCAACAAGGCTGATGGCGAGCTGGGTGTCCTGCAGCTTGGTAGGTGCCCCCACTGCCTCTCTGCTGTGGCCGGCAGGGTCCAAGGGCCTCCATTTGCTCCGTCTGGGGGGTGGTGGGTGGGGGCTCCTTTCCTCCCACCTGACCTTAGGAAGGAGAAGCTGGCCCAGTGAGTAGAGCAGGCTTCTCTCTTTGTGGTTGCTGTCTTCTTCTGCCTTCTGTCTTTCTGTCTTGGAGAAATCCTTATAAGAAGTCTGGGCACTTCTGGACCCACACTGGTGTGGGGGTGTGGGGGTGAAGAGGAGCCTCTTTTGCATCTGGGGGCTCTTTTAGGGCTGTTCGGAATGTACAAAGTTTCCAGAAGACAGCTGTGCCTAGGGGAGACTGTCCTTTAAAAAACTGGATCGGCGTATTATTGAGGCATAGGGTAGGTGAAGGGTACACATGTTAAGTGTTTGGCTCCATGCAGTCTCGCACGCGTGTACATCCCTGTCACTGCTCCCCCAGATCCCGATGTGGACACGGGGGACAGGGGAGGTCCAGAGATGAGTGAAGCACCACCCTTGAGTCCAGCCGCTCTTCAGTTCTGAAGCCATCCTTCGCTTCCCCCTCCGGGGACTCTCTCCTCCCCGAAGACGGCTGTGTTTGCGGGGCTTGGCAAAGCAGCAGCAGACGGACGATGGCGACCCAGCGACCAGATTTGAAGGACGAGGCTTGAGTGCCGTTCATATTTGCTCTCCTTCCGGAAGCCAGTGATTTACCTGTCGGGCCATTCGCGTACTTTTCCTCTCCTTTCAAGCACCCCTTTTGTTGATTTATTTATTTTTTAAAGATTTTATTTCTTTTATTATTTGAGAGAGAGACACAGCGAGAGAGGGAACACAAGCAAGGGGAGGGGGAGAGGGAGAAGCGGGCCTCCCGCCGAGCAGGGAGCCCGATGTGGGGCTCGACCCCAGGACCCTGGGATCATGACCTGAGCTGAAGGCAGGCGCTTAACCGACTGAGCCACCCAGGCGCCCCTAGAGGGAGAAGCAGGTTTCCCGCCGAGCAGGGAGCCCGATGCGGGGCTCGATCCCAGGACCCTGGGATCATGACCTGAGCCGAAGGCAGATTCAAGCACCCCTTTTAAACTGGAGGAGGAAAGCCACACACTCTTCAGAAGTTACTTGTGTGAGACGTGCGGTCTGACGGTTTGCTTTGATGAGGTTGGAAGGCAGGGGCCTCTGTCTGAATGACGAGGCAGCGGTTTGTTCTGCGCAGCTCACTTCAGAGGTAGCAGTTCCTTAGAGCTGGAATCACCCACGGTGGCCCGTGGGGATCGCTTGGCCGGCGCAGGAAGGGGCAGAGTCCCACCTGTGGCGACGCCGACGTGCGGAGCCAGCACGCGCTGGCCTCTGAAGCCTTTCTGTAAAGCACTGCACTTTAAGATTTTCCAGTGAGAGCCACTCCTGTCTGGACAGAAAACGAAGCACTTCCTGGCCTTCAGAACCCAGACGGCTCTGTTGGAGCCTGTTGGAAGGAAGGCTTTAGCAATTCTCTCAGAACCCAGTTGTTTGAAGTGTGTGTTTTCCAGAGGGAGGCAGAACCCTCTTTGCTAGTGGCTCAGCTAATGCTTTAGGAAAGGGGAAGGAGATAAAAGGTAGGACATCATGGAACCCAGTCATCAAGAGAAAGGGAAAGAAGTTTTGGGGTGAGGCAGAGACAGGGAGTACAATTTGGTTAGAGGAACAGCATTTTCTTCCCTACCCTGGTTCATTTTCCTTTGGTTCAGTTCAGCCAACTTCCGTCAGCAGTTACTAGCCAGGGCGTAGATGAGGCTGTTGAAAGAACATCAGGGTGAATAAAAAGAGGCCTTCGTTCTTGGAGGGCTGGGTTGGGTGGGACAGAGGAAGAGAGGTACCCTCTGATACAACACATAGAGAGGATGGTTAGCAGTTCATCACTGCTTCAAGAGACGAGTTCTTTGGTGGGTTCCAGAGGTTTCCACAGTGAGGAGGTATTTAGACTGGGCTCTGAAGGTTGAGGAGGTCTTGCCAGGTAGAGATGTGCGACAAGCCTCGTGGGCAAGGCATGGAGTGTGAGAAAGAGTGATTGGCTTGAGGCGACTGGCCCACAGGGGAAGGCATGGGGTCAGGGGGAGCCTAGGCTGGGAACGAAGGTGTGGCAGGGCCAGGATGACCTTGAGTGCTGTGCTAATGAGCTTGGCTGTAAATCATTAGCCAGTAAAGAGCACTTGAAGATTCTGTGCTGGTGAGTAATGTGTGCGGTGCTGTGGGTTTAGGGCTACCTCTGGATACGTGTGGAGGATGGATTTTACAGGTAAGGGCCTGGATGTTGGAAGACCAGTGAGGGGGCTCTTGGAATAGTCTAGAAAAGATGTGATTGGTCCCCTATTCTGTCTGGCAAAATCCTCTGGGTATTTCAAGACCCTGCTGCAATAGTTAGCTTTAATGGAGAGCTTCTCTGACCCTCTAAGGCAGAATTACTTGCCTCTTGTCCTCTGCTCTTAAAACCGTTGCACTATCTCTGTTTTAGTACTCATGTTACATTGTTTGGGGCTCTGTCTCCCTCTAGGCAGCGAGCTCCTTAAAGGCAGGGATGGTGCTTTACTCATCTCTGGACCTCCCTTGTCCCACTGTCCCACACAACCCCTGGCATATCATGGATGCTCGATGAAGTGCTTGATGAACAGATAGAAAAAGAATGACATATTCCTGTAACAGTGGAGGGAGAAAGGGTGGGGGCGAGGTGTGAGACATCCTGGAGGCAGAATCATCTGGAGGCTGGATCCTCGTGGTGTGTGAGACAGGGCTGAGGTCTCAGCGTGGGTCCCTGGAGGAGGGCTGGGGAGATGGAATCTCTTATCAGAACTGAAGTCTGGAGGGCTGCTGTGCTGAGATTCCTGAGTCTGGGGTGTTGGGGTACTTCTGGTGGAAGATATCTGGAGTCAGTGGGAAATATGGATCAGGCACCTAGACAAAGACGTATATGGACCTCTATTACATATTATCATATGTTTTCCTCCAAAGGGTAAATAAAATGGTATCAGAAAACAAACTCCCTTGTTTCTTTTCAGCCAGACACTTATACCAGGGCCTTAAAAATAGCATCCTCAAACCATCGGCATTTGCAGATGGTTTTGTCTGCTTGGCCAACATGTCATTCTGGAGTGCTTTGTTTTTCCTTTGCATGGTGGTCCCGCCACATCTGGGCCTGAGGCCTGCTATGTGGTCCTGAACCAAATCCCTGGACAAGGGCCAACTTCCTCCTGGCAGAAGCTGAGGATGGCTGCTTCCTCTTCTTCCTCTTGGGGGTCTCCACCAGTCTGCTTCCCCTGGGCCCCCAGCTTTCATTCTCCGATTTACTTCATGGAGTCCTGAGCAGAGCACGTTTCAGCCCTGGTTCCCTCCCGGACAAACTCAGACTAAACAGAAGCCTCCAAATAGGCTTAAATACTGCCCCTTCTGTGCCTCCAGGAAACAGTCTGGCCTGAGGCATTGCAAGGAGCCGTTCAGGGCCTGTAGAGTCACTCAGGTTACTCTTCCCATCTGTTCTGGGCCTCAGCTGCCTGGGGTTGAATTAATCACACATCTCTATTCCTCCAGGGAACATTCTCAGTACTCATCTTTGCAAAGCCTGCCCATCGGCCTTTACCTCCCTTCCTCCTCCCTTTCCTTCTCCACCCCACTCCTTCTCTCTCTCCTCCTCCTGCCTTCTCTTGCCTGTCCTTCATTTCCCTTTAGCCCCACTCCCACACGCCCATGACCTTCCTGTCCTCAAGCCACCATTCTCGAGTATTTAGTCGATATCTGTTTGCTTGTGTGTATTCTTGCAAAATGTGTCGTGTTTTTTGTGTGTATGTATTTGTCATGGTTGTAAATCGTATTGCCTTAGATATCTCATTTGCATTCTTGCTTTCTCTGCCCAGCACCATGTTTTTAAGACCCATGAACGTTGCTGAAGGAACATCTATCGGGTTGTTATTTCAGGGTACTTTTATAAGGTCATGGTCACAGGGTGACTTTTTCAGAGGCCCTAACTAAGAAGAGTTCTCATTTAAATTCAGATTCTCATTTCAATTCCAGACTTACTTTTAATTTTTTTTTAGCCTAAAGGTGGAAGGGTCTCCTTTTTAGTGGACTGGGACTCTGGGAGTTGGCCTCCTCCTATGCCTGGTCCTCCCCCAGGGGAAAAAAGGAGACTGTAGAATAGGATATAAGACATGTGTCCTGGGGATGTTGGTCTTTGGATAGCATCTCCAGAAGATGTGGGCAGGGACAATGACATTTCTCTCGTCCCAGATGTACAGAATTATGGGAGGTAATGTTGATTTCTATGCAGTGTAGCGTACTTTTTAAATAATCATTTAATCTTGGGAAAATGAGGAAAAAACAGGTTCAACAGGCTCTCTGGAGACTGGTCCGCTCAGCTTTGCCAGCACAATTACCTTGGATTGTTTTCATTTGGGTCCTTCCTCTGAGTGTTCTGGTAAATGCTGCGGCTGTGGGTACAGTGGCCGGAGGGAGGCTCAGCCGGCTGGGAAGGCACAGGCTGGGGCTGCCAAGACCAAGCTGGGACCCTCTCCGGGCCTCTGTTGCTCCAGCTGTAGGAAGACTGTATGTGGCATGTGACTCAGTGTCCCTCTGGCTGGAGGTCCAGGGAGGTCTGGCTGGCAGGATGGCAGAATGATTGGGAGCTGCCCTGGGTTTTATCCTGTCTCTGCCCCTTTTCCATCTGCATGATGTCGGGCCAGTCCTTTCACTTCTCTAAGCTCAGTTTCTCATCTGTAAGTGGGGGCGATGATAATTTCCCCCTTATGGGGCTGTTATGGGACTTAGGTGCTAAAACTCAAGCGGTTGGCAAGTGAAAGCCACGACAGTGATAATCTGTTATTATTATTTTTATCAGGAATGGTGGCATTTTCTTTCTTAATTCTGCCCTCTTCGTGTTTGTCCTCAGGCACAGGTTTGTGCACCGTGCCTGCCCTTTGTAAGAAAGGTGTCTGGGTGAGGCTTTTCTGGGCCTGACTCCATGGCTTCAGCCTTAGGCTCTTGTTCACTGCATGTCCACAGGTAGAACTTTCTAGTGGACCAGTAGCCAGATCATGCCCACTGGCATCCTTGTGCCGTGGACCAGCATGGGCTGTGACAGGAGTGAGGGCCCTCGCTCTGCCTTTTTTCCTTCTGGTGAAGGTCTGGGAGCCCCAAAGGGGAGAGGTGGGTGGAAGATAAGGAAGCCCTCCTTTCATTCAAACTCATCCATGTCCTTGGTGTTAAAGGATTTCTGTTTTTTCTTTTAAGATTTTATTTATTTATTTATTTAGAGAGCTGGGGGAGGGGTAGAGGGAGAGGGAGGGAGAGACTCTCAAGCAGACTCCTGCTGAGTGTGGAGCCTGATGTGGGGCTCGATCCCATGACCTGAAAATGAAAATCATGACGTGAGCCAAAATCAAGAGTCAGACACTTAACCGACTGAGCCACCCAGGCGCCCCAAATGATTTCTTATTCTGTTCTCCATGGGTCATAATAAGGAGCTCACGTGCCCTGGTATTCTTTCAGAGGATGTGGAGGATGAATTGATAAAGGATGAAGTCATCCTGTCTCCAGGTCCATCGATGCTCAAGCTGCAAATAGTGTCAAAGCCAATTGACCTCTCAGTGGCCAAGGTAGGCGTCACCTTAAAAGTGTGCATTGATACATCTTGATTTGAATCGGTGTGAATTGGTGCAGTGTGAATTGAAGCTGTCTTGGTGTGAATTGGTATGGGTGAGGTGACTTTGATCCCTCTGGCCCCATCCATCTTACGTCTCAGTCATGGTTAAAGTGGAAATTCAGGTGTGGTAGAGAAGAGCCTGAACTGAGAGTCAGGAAAATGGGGGGCCTAGTCCCCTCCAAGAAGAGGTGAGGGTACAGCCTCCGCCCATTCAGACATTGCAGGGTCTTGTTCTTCTTTCGGCCCAGAGCTGCTTCTGCACATGTGCAACGGGCACCTCCAGAGTTGTGACAGCAGCGGGAGAACCGTCCTCATTAGACCGGCTCTCTAGCGCTCGTCCCCCAAGCTGGGCTCAGGCTGGATTGCAGTGAGGGAAGGACAGGTGGGTGTTAATTCCTCAGCACCGTCGGGTTCACACCAGTGGCCTCCTAGAGGGACTTGAGCTCGTAGGACTTAGGGAGCAGGTTCCTGGCCTTGTCAGCCTCCTCTGCAGGGATGCCCCGGATTCCTCACCATCTCAGCTGCCACATGGCCTCACCCCTCCCCTTGGCCAGCAGTTCCTGGGGGATGGAATGCTGCTCCTGCTGTCTTCCACTGGCTCTTGAGCCAGGATCCAGGAGGAAAAGCTAATAAAATGCCTGGGGACACAGTTGACCCCCTTTTCTTCCTACCTGTAAATACTCAGCACACAGATTAAAAAAAGTCAAAGATTTTTCTAGAAGTTTTATCCCATCCCATTCCTTCCCTCCCTTTTCTTTCTTTCTTTTGAAACCATGGGGGGCAGGGGGTGGGGGTTGGGTCAGACACTTTTACATGGCCCCAAGCCTGGAGTAAGTGCTCTGACTCTCTGTAGCCACAGGGCTGTGATTCTTTGCAGTGAACACTCCTGTTTTGGGAAGGGCCCTTTGAGACCCCTAAATTTAGACCACCCAGTAGCAGCATCTCCCAAAGCAGCTGGAAAATTGAGGCCCACCCAGAGAAAAGGAGGGCCCGGGGCACACAGCATCCATAGCACCCAGGCTTTCAGGCTCACAACCCTGTGCCCTGGTGGCCACACTGTGCCTAGCCGGGGGCTGCTGTTCTGTGACTAAGAGAACAGACCTGGGCTTCAGCCGGAAAAGTCTAGTCCCTATAGTTCGCAGGCTCTCGAAAAGCTCGGTTCAAATACATGGATTGTTGGTGCAAGAAGGGAAACCAAGCCCCGATGGACGAATTCACCCAGTCTTCTCTCCTGTGCGCCGCCAGCCCGCATTTGATGATGTGTAGACAAATGCTTCTGTCACTGAGACTTTCTTGTACTTAATGAAAAATAAAAAAGAACCGATTCTGAAAGGAAATAATCTGAATCTGTAGGAAAGATCTGACCTAGAGAGGTGGCAACAGAGCCCATGTGTTGGCCCTTCTGAGACCCTGGGTGTAAAGTCATGGCAGAGAGAGAGGAGAGGTGGCTGGCATAAGGAGGGGGCATCCAGGGAGAGGCTCTGCTTTCCCGGGCTGGTCACGGGCAGTGGTTGGCGCTTTCTGGGGCTCTGGAGGGTGGGGCTTGGGCTTATGGGAGATGAACAGTGAGATCAGTATCAGCCAGAAGTTTAGAGAAGACAGAGCCGTGAAGAAATGGAGGTACTGGCTTGGGGGGCGGCAGGAACCCCTTCACTGGATTGTTGGGGTTCAAGTTGAGTTCACGGGGGACACTTGTGGGTGATGGCATAGAGGAGATTCTTACACGTACTAAGGGGTGGTACTGCATCAGGGGCTGGTAAACTTTCTGTAAAGGGCCAGATCATATATTTTTGGCTCTCTGTTGCAACTGCTCAACTCTGCCATTGCAATGTGAAAGCCAACATAGAGAAAATAAAATCAAATGGGTGTTGCTGTGTTTCAATAAGACTTTATTTACAAAACACGTGTGGGGCCAAATTTGGCCCGTGGGTCACAGGTTGCTAAGCCTGTCTCACGGCACTGGTTCTCCAACGTAGCTGCACGTTGGAATCGCCTGGAGAGCTTTTAAAATTACAGCCACTGGAGTCTGCCACCCAGGGGTTCTGATTTAGCTGGGCTGGCGTGTGGCCTGAGCATCAGGATTGTTAAGCACCCCACAGGTGATTGTATGTGCAGTCAAGAACCTCCAAGGTCCCTTCTAAAACTAAAATTCTGTGTTTCAGATTTCCTCTAAGGAGCCTGCAAAGGCCTAGGCCTGGGTCAGCACAGGCTGGTTTGGTTTATGGATGTTCCAGAGGCAAGACCCTCAGCGTCGCTTTTTCTCTTTTCTCAAATATGAGGAGAATGAGTTTGCAAAATAAAGGAAAAATCGATGAGCCTGCTGGAAAGCAGGCTGCGCCGCTAGAATGCAAGACCAGCTCCTGAGGGAGTACAGACACCGAGTGGCGTATTATTGTTTGCCTTTAAGACAACTAAGGAAACTCTCTCTTCTTTTGACAGGACATAAAGGCCCTTCTGTTCGGCTCCAGCTTTTGCTGTTTCAATGAGGAATGGAAGCTTCAGAGTTTTTCCTTTAATGACAAAGCCTCGTTAAAATACGGCATTGTGCAGAACAAGGCAGGTTGCTTTTACGTTTCTGGGGGACGTCACTGCGGGCCCGTCACAGGTAGGGCCGGGTGTCCTGCAGTTTGCTGAGCTATCCAGTGCTGACTAGCCCCGTGTTTGCCGAGTTGTCACCCAGTGCTGCAGCTTCACGTGGGGCTGGCAGAGCAGGAGCTGGGGGACGTGACCCTTCCCCCACAGAGGCTTCTCCTCAGTGTCCAGAACCCTCTCTGAGACGGGCGGAAGGAGGCCTTTGTTTAGTTGGGGGCCTCAGAGAGGGTCCTCAGGCAGAGTCTCGGGAAGTGGTTTTGCAGGTAGGGCTGGAGAGAGAGCACTTGAAGGAGGAGGCAGCATGAGTATAAAGGGAAGGCTTTGAGAAGAAGTTTGTGAGGAGGAGGTGTTTTCTAAGATAGGGAAATGTAGGTACACCGGGGCAGGATTTGGACATGGTGTATACACATTTCCCGAGTTATACACTTTAAGGGCCAGAAGATACTCTCAATCCAGCAGCCCAGTGAGGTTCCATTTGTCAAGCCCCAGGTGCCTCCCCTTGCTCCTCACTGCCTGTGGAAGAACCCCAAGACCATTGGCCTCTGTCCCTAGTGTGGCCAAACTCAGCACATCTTCTTACACCCCCAGTTCAAGGGTACCCACGCCTGCTGCTCTGATAATTCTTGTACTTGTTGAATAGGGGTGAACCCCTCAAGGAGACTTCTTCCTCTAATGTGGGGGCACGGGGGACAAAGACACACCTGATGGGTGCTGAGGCAGGCCACAGCTGGGCAGAAGATTGCTCACATAAGCAGAGGCTGCTGAAGGGGCTGCTGAGATGGTCAGGGAGGGCTTCCTGGTGGAGGAGGCCTTTAGGATGGGCCTTGAAGGCTGAGTAAACCATTGACACCCTCAGCCTGTGGACATGGAAGCATTTCCTTGAATGACTGGGAACTTATGGTGACGTACTTGGTTTTACACCTGACTGTTTGTGAAGGCCTGCTTTCCTCCCGTGAGACATGCAGGTTCGCCCCTTCCTCCAGTGCTGGTCACCGGGGCCTTTGTCATCCCTTCTCTGTGACTAGGCTCAGGGCTCTGTGGAAGGACTCGGCATAGCAAAGGCCCCTGTTTGAGAGGCAGTGGCTTGGTGGTGCTGGGTCTCTAACCTGTGGGCGGAGGCTGGTTCTGGAGGGACAGACAGCTCTGCCTTGGGTCGGTCCTCACGGGCACTAATGTGTGTCCTTCTTTGCAGGGGGGTCCCTGTGGGGTTCTGGCAGCTGTCCAAGGCTGTGTCCTACAAAAACTCCTGTTTGAAGGAGATAGCGAAGCTGACTGCGTTCGGTAAGTCAGCGCTCCTTCTGGCAATATCTTCTTTTCCCGAGGCTTCTCCTCAGTGTCCAGAAAAAACAAGCAAGGAAGCGTGTGTGTTCCCTGATATTTCCTGTCTTCTGGAAAGGGAAATGGCGACTGGCTCAGAGGGCCAGCGCTGCCCAGTTGAAATGACCTGCATGTATTTGTCTCTGAGTCCCATTCCACGTGGCAAGTAGCTGCTGGAATGGCATCGAAACTAAGGCCACCCCCTCCTCAGCAGCTAAGCGCAGCAGCTGCCCAAAGCCCATCCACACCCACATCAACCTGCTGACCCTTCGATGGAGCCCAGGTCTCCCCTCCCTCCCCATGTTGCCTCACCTCTGCCAACAGCCATTCCCACACATTCCAGCCGGCCCCGCAGTGCATTGCTTCCACTCTCTTCGGCCATTTGTCTCCACCTCACACGTTACGTGTTTGCACATGGGCAGCTCCTTCTCCTTCTCACTCACTCCACAGACCTTTCTGGAACATCTCTGTGCAGGCAGAATGCTCTGTGCGGTGGAGGGATGGATAGAAAACCATAACTGTATACCATGGTTGGTGCTAAGCTAGAAGTATCGGCCAGGTGCTGGCCAGGGCCGGGGCTGGATGGCCAGTTTGAGGAGATGGCCTCCTTTCGTCTCCCTGTGTGCCCAGTGACTAGCTTGTGCTCAGTTACCCCCAGAGCTACAGAAATGGCATGTATTCTTATTTCTCTCTCTCTTTATTAGTTGAGCGATAACATGCATACAGGAAAGTACACGTCTCAAAAAAGTGCATGACTCATATGTGTTCTGCTCAATGCATTATTGCAAAATCCCCCCGCCCCATCATCCTATCAGCCAGATCAAGAAAGAAAAATATTTCCAGCATGCCGGAAGAGTTGTCCTGCCTAGTAGATACCTCCATTCTCCTCCCAAAAGTTGTGATTAAACAGCTTCTAAAATCACAGCTAAGTTTTGCCAGTTCCTGAATTTTAATTAAAGGGTCTTGTTCTTTGATGTAGGCATTTCAGTGCCTTAAAAAAAAAAAAAAGCTTAGGTGTTATAAAGACAACAAGGCCCATTCCCCATTCTTCCGTGTGCAGATTCCTGGGAGGGACGCTGGCTCCCCAGATATCCTGCCAAGCCCAGGACAAATGAAACATCTTTTACCACTTTAGAGGATTTTGCCTTAGATAGGTAGCTTTTCATGCTTGGCATTTTAGAATTTGTCTAATAATATAACTTGTCTAATTACAAAGTAATCACCAAGCGGTTTTGTCTCAAGTTAAAAGATGCCAATTACCAGCATAGCCCAGCCATACCCAGAGCAGAGCGACCTAACATTTCCACAGCAGGATCTCACCTCGTCCTTGTTCTTCTCCACACCACCCCCACCTCCCCATCGCGTCCAGACATAACTGCTCCTGTCTGTGCAGGGCCCCTGAAAGGCCAGCCAGCAAACCACAGTGCGGGCAGAGACCCTGCTGTCGACTGTCCTGGAGAGGTAGCACAGTGCTTGATGTTCTGGAATGCTCCCGACTGAGTGGAACTTGCCAAATGAGCGACCTCTGGCTGCCCTCAAAGGGTGCAGGGACTGTCCCCGAGTGCACATGCGCCCGACTGCCCACCTCCCTTCCTTGCACTGGAAAGAAGCATGCTGGGAGGGCTTGGCAGGTGCTTGGAGGGAAGACAGAGGACAGCCTCGGCCTTGCCTTCACGGCACCTATGATTGAGCATGAGAGCCAGACAAATAGAGGCTCCAGGGGATGTGCCGGATGCTCAGGGTTCCTCCAGACCTGAACGGGCTGGGGCAGGCCTGTTGGAGGGGTGACATTCGAATCCAGCTGAGGTCTGGAGGTCATCGACTCCCAGTTGGCTTCACACACATCCTTATATATGCTCGTTCCTCCCTCAATTTCCCCCTTCCCAGCGAATCCCTCAGACTTCTTCTTGGGCTCCTTACTGCACAGAGGCCTTGACATCACGGAGGCCTTCCCTAGGTGAGAAGAACCCCAGGCCTGCTCCAAGGTGCCCTTGTTCCCTGACATTGTTACCTGTCCACGGTCGCACCCCCACCGCTCCACCCCCTGGGAATACCAGCCCCATGAGAATAGGGGCCTTCCTGGGCTGCCTGGTTCACAGCCTGTCCCTGGCATCCAGCCCAGGGCCTAGGCCACAGAAGAGGCCCTCGGAATTTTTGTTGAATGAACACATGCACAAATGCATGAGTTATCCAGACTCACAGGGAGGGGAGGGAATGGTGTTCCAGTAAGGAGAACAGCATGTGCAGAGAGAGGCCCGAGGGCAGTGAGAGCAGGGCGGACAAGGGAGCCGAGAGCTGCCTGGGGTGGCCAGGGCAGGGTTTGCGGGGGGGCAGGGTGAGACCTGGGGCTGGCAGATGGGTCAGGGCCAGGCTGCCAGAGGGGCCTTGGGGCCTTACCAGCTGCTTGGGTCAAGCCTTGGCCTTGGCCCTCATGGGAGATGTCTCATAATTCATTTCAGCCCTCTTCTCATTCAGAGCTGCTTTTGAACTTGGACTTTGTACTTGGGGGGAAGTTGTGGATTGTTTTCCAATGATTGGGATGGGGCATTTAAGTTGGTTCCAGGAAGGGCTGTTTCTGTCCAGGGCACACACAAGGCAGGCTCGATTCCTTGTTGCCCACCCCACACACCACTGAGGGAATGTTCCACCCTCTGGATCCACAGGTACATTCTCCGGGGAGCGCTCTGCTCTCCACACCAGAGAGGGGAGCGAGGGCTTGGAAGGCAAAAAGCCATCCTGGTTGTGGGCGAAAGTCGGGCTCTGGGCAGAAAGAAAACCGGGTGAGCAGTGGGAAGTGAGGTTCTTTCTACCTCTCACCATCTGCCAGCCAGCCACTGGCCAAGCCTGGGCTTAGGCCCCAGTTTACAGTGACAGGTGTCTATTTAAGCACTGACTAGATGGAGAGTTCCATCAAGTCTTTGCTGGGAAGGAGGCGGAGGGAGTGCAGCCTTGGCTCCCACGGGCTCCCTGTCAGCTGGGACTCTGAGAGAGGAGTCGGGGCCAGCCTAGATTGAGGGCCCTTGGTGGCCAGGCTGGTGGGTCTGAGCTGGGTCCTAGGGGCAGTAGTGGTTAGGCAGAGGGAGAAGGGGGAAGAAGGAGCTGCGGGGGGGTATATGTAGGGGTGTGCCAGGTGGGAAGGAGCCCCAGTCTGGCTGCCTGGCTCAGCAGTATGTGTGGAGTATCCAGGGAACTCAGCCTGCTGGCCACGGTCCCCTCCTCCAGGAAGCATGGAAGGATTCATGCTGCAGAAGAGTGACCTCAGTTTTCTTGGGAGCCCCACAACTATGGGTGCTCCTGGTAAGTCCCTCCCCTCTCTGCCCTCACCCCCTGCTGCTCCAGGTGCTGCAACCAGGGCTCATCTCCATGAGGTGGAGCACTGTGGGCTGGCTTTCTGCTTCCATCCACTGGGGCTCTAGCAGGAGCTCAGGAAGAGGTAGCTCAGAGAGGGACAAGCTGGGGGAGTCCCAGTGGTGATGGACTATAGGCAAGGGGCACCAGATGCCTACACACACACACACACACACACACACACACACACATAACACACACCCCCACACCCCCAGTCCTGTGTTTCCTTCTCCCACTTCCCCTGCCATGGGGCCAGGTTTGCTGAGGTTACAGCCTGACTCGGGGGCTGGAGGGCCATTGGGGGTGGGAGAGGAGAGTTCTTCTGGCTTCAAGCTAGGACTTGGGTCAAACAAAGGCCCGGGGAGCAAGGGGCTGGTGCCCAGGGCTGGCAGCAAAGGAGGGAAGTGAGAGCAGAGTCTGGGTTGCTGTTTCGTGGTGATGAGGCCCTATAGGGCTGGGTCCAGAGACCTGGGCTGCAGCGCTTCACCTTCTCCATTGGTGAATCTCTGTCTTGCCTAAGTTTGACTCAACAAGGAAATGCAAGCACAGTCCTTTGTAAATTATCAAGGGCTGTGCAAGCAGGCAGGACCATCTGGGGAAGCCGAGGCTCAGAGAGGGGAGATGCTCACCCAGGGTCACTCCTGGCATCTGCGGCTGAGCCCTGTCCGCCTTCGTGCTCTGCTGTGCCCCAGAAGAGACTCTGAGCAACAGGAGAGCCAGAGAGGTCAGGAGGGGCCGACGCCAGGCGTTTGGAACATTCGTGTGCCGGACCCCCAGACGGACTCTCAGTGACCAAGGCGTGGCTCTGTGTTTTACAGAGGCCTTCTGGGCACACCCTTCCCCTTTCCCCTACTTTGGAAGAACTCAGTACGGAAGTACAAAGAGTCATACAGCAAACATCTCATGTGAGCAAAGGGTGACACCCTGTAGGAGCCCCTCTTCATGCCCAGCTCCTCTGGTTTCATTGGTTTATTCATACAATTTTAATATCGACGGGTTGGGTCATTGATGTTTCTACATGGGTAGTGTGTGCTGAGATGGGTTCGAGGCTTCAATACTTCCTTTTGACTCTGAAATTCCAGGATTTCAGAAATGACCCAACTTAAAAAAAAAATACAGGTGACTCCTTTTTTCTCTTCACGAACACCATGGTGGCCTGGCCCCCACACCTAGGCAGCATGTGCAGCTGCCCAACTCTGGGCTCTGGGGGGCGCTTGAAGGACCTGTGGGCCTTCCCATGCTGGGGCTGGCGGTGGGGCCCCTCCTCGCGCCCTCCGCCCACCACCCGCCACCCGCCACTGATGGGGAGCGATTCTGTGAAAGCAGCGTGGGGGATTGACTGCGCCCTCCAGGGAAGTCATGCTGAAATAAAGGCCTCTTGGCAGTTGTGGTGTTTTTTCTCTGGAGCTGTCTGGCTTCATTAGGACCCACTCCGTCAGGCCGGCAGCTGGCCTCTCCTCAGTTGGGGAGGACAGAGCCAGGCGGCAGGACTCTGTGTTTTCCCCTTGAGGAGGTGTTGTGCCAGTGTGTGGGAAGAGACGACGAGCCTCACTCCCCTGCAGGCCTAGAGAGAGCCGCAGACAAGGATGTTGTCCCCTCACCTCCTCTTCCCTTTGAAATTGTGAAATTCAAGGCCCAGAGAAAGAGGGGCACTTGCCCGAGGCCTGTCTGGACACCGTAGCAGAGCCAGGCTTGGACCCCAGGTCCGGTGGCCCCCGGACTGGCCTTCTCCCCACTGCCTGCAACAGCTTGTGAGCCTGAGAGGGAGCAGAAAGGCTGTGGTCATTCACCAGACTTCCTCTGGGTGGTTTGGAGACGCGAACCGCTGGGCACATCAGAGTGGATGGGTGAGGCCATTTCGAGATAGTTGGGATCAGAACATCTTTTAATCTGAAGGACTGGAGTAATTTGGGCAAACATGCAGGCTGTATTACTCCCCTATGCCCACCACCACCCGTAGGCAAATGTCTTCATCCTGTACTTCTCCTGTGAGGAATTAGATGCTTAAAGAAACTTCTCTTGGTTGGAGAGCCTGGCTGGGTGCTAGGTTCATGGTAGGAGTTTGATGAGTGCACGTCTGACCGATGAAGGCAAACAGGAACCGCCCTTGCCGTTGAGATTTTGCAGGCGAAAGCAGGGAGATACCTGGTGGAGCTGGAGCCTGGGTGACTCACCACAGCACCGCCTTCCTCTCGTCGTCTGCACGGACAGCCCTGTCTACCCTGTGGCCAGTTAAATGGCAGAAATGGCAATACCGGAATGATGTTTGGGGGCACGTGGCCCAATGTCCACATCTTATGTGGGAAGCGAAGGCCGGCGAGGGCAAGGGGCTTCTCTAAGGCCTGGGAGCCAGGAACCAAACCCAGGCCCAACCACTGCACTTTTCCACTGTGTCTTCTGGAAAGATGTATCTCAAAAGAGCAAACAGGGGCCCAGGGAAGGATGGAGAGACTGGAAGTGTTTCTAAATGGAAGCCAGTGTAAAAAATGAGGACTTTTGTGTAGAAACGCAGAGGTTCAGAGGGTCTGTAACCAGTCCGTGAGATCAGAAAGACACGGGCCGGACTGAGAAGCCAGATCTCTTGATAGTGTTTCATGGTGCCCAAGAGACAGGCTTGAAGACAGAGGAATGCTGGTTCCTAAAGCCAAGAGCTCTAGACAGTTGGTTCCATTTCCCCAAGTTCTCCTTCCTCCCTCAATGCTGTTTTAATTTTTCCAACTTTCCTAACTGTGTGACCTTGGGTGAATCCCTTAGGCTCTGTGCCTCAGTTTCCCCATTTAAAAGCAATAATACTGCCACCTCGATAGGGTAGCTTTAATGGCTAATGAAATAATACATGCAACGTGTTTCTAACAGTGCTTGGCACATGATGGATACTCAGTATATGTCGGCTTTTCAAATCTCATTTATGGCTACACTGAGAAGCCTTCAATCAAGCACATGACTTGCTTCAGCAAGTTAGTGTAGAACACAGTGAATGTGTGAAAGGAGACCTCTTGGTTCCACATCTGCAGGTTTCCCAGCATAGATATCTAGGCAGAGTTTAAAGTCCAGACACAAGTTTGCACAACTCCTAGCCATGGTAAGGGTTCTAACTGGGGGGAACCCTGGTCACACCTGTATTGTAGGAAGAGCCCACAGGGACAAGATGGAGCAGAGATGCTGGTCAGGCACTGGCTAGAACAACTCAGCTGGGGAGCAGAGCACCCTGGTCCCGGGCAGGGGCAGGAAGGGGATTGGCAAGGGTTTTCAGGAGGTGTGTTTGACAGGATGTGATGGTCACCTGGGTGGGGGCAGGGCAGGAAACAGGAGCTGTGGGGATGACGAAGCCTACTTTCATAGGTTCTGAATCCAAGGGGATAAATGTCCAACCCCTTCTCCTTTGTCAGACAAGCCCTGCTTTCCAGGCCCCTCTCTGTCCTTGGCATCACCTCTCCGGAAACCCAGCACAACATTTCCTCACCTTTGTTTTCATAGTTGATGGTGACCCAGGCCAGTGCTCCCCCCACAGCCCAGGCCGCCTGGTTTGGTGATGGCATGGTAACCATTTCCTCGAGGAGCATGGCGGGCTTCCAGAGGCTGCACAAGTAGCAGGCAGTCTGCCATTTCATTTTTCAAGTGGTTGAGGACTTGCTGTTTGTCTCATTAGGTTTGAAGGATACCCTGGTGTCAGGGGCTTCTTGTCACTTTTACACCAGATGGTAGGAGTTCACCTTCCCGTCACCACAGCCAACATGGGGACTTGATGTTTCCATAAAGACAACAGTGATAGGTATCCATTACTGACCATTCACCCTGTGCCAGGCACTGGGCTATGGGCCTTTACACACATCACCTTGTTTAAAGTTCCCAATGCTACAGAGGAGGTACTAGGGTCCTCTCCAGTTTATGGAAGGGAAAACTGAGGGACGATTATGTCATTTGCCTCCTATTTTAAAGGCATTGTACAGCCTGGATGCAGGCCACTGGCTCTGTGTCTCAGGCACTGGGGAGTGACCACGTGCTGCCCATCACAGTGACCTGTGTCCTGGTCTCCTGGTTCCCATTTCTCCAGTTTTCTTTCTCCCTCACACAGCTTAGCATGGAGCTCAGGTGTTAGTTGGCCACTGAAAACATAGAACCCTGACCCCCACCCCTTGCCCCCTGCCGTGTATTCCTTTGAGCCCCAGCAGGGTCTTCATCGAGGCACCTTTGTTTGTTAGGAAAAGCCTAACACTCAGACTGCTTTTGTAAGAATTTAATTTTTCTAAGGATTTAGAAAAAATTCATAGACTCCAGCAGTGGGCAAGAAGTACAGCTCTAGGAGCCCTGGAAATGTGAAACTGAAGGAAGTGTCTCTATCAGGCCGTTGCCTGTTCTTCCCTTTTGCTCATTTCATGCACCAGGGCATCTGTGTTACCATTTTTATCATAAGGTGTCTCTGCCATTTTTGACATTGCTGACTGCCTGTTTTGCTCAAAGCCCATTTGCTCCTAGGACTGTGTAATAGCACCATCTCCCAGCCGTGCCCCTACTGCCGTGCTGCGTCCTGCCATCCTCTGCATCCCTGGTGTACCAGAGTCCTGTGGGGTTTCATCCTTGGCTGCCATCTCTGCCCTTCCTCATCCTCTGTCTGGAGAATCTTAGCCCCTCAAAGGGCCAAGGACCCCTCACATGCTGGTGGTGCATAAACCTATCCTCAGCCCCGATGCTCTCCTGGGCTTTCCATGTGTCAGATAGCTTCACCCAGGGGGTCCCACGTGCACCTCCAGCTGCTCCCCCAGTCCTCCTCTCTGCCCTATATTCCTCATTTCAGTTGGCAGCCCCACTGTGCACCCACTAAACCCCCAGAGATTACCATGAATCCTTCCTCTTCCCCATCCTACAACCTATATCTAAATAACCAGCAAGGCAGGCCACTTTCCTCTCTGCACCCATGATCTCATTTCCTGTGGCTGGTGGGAATGAAGGGCACCTGCTTGCACAGCTGCTGTCTCCAGTGGCCCGGATGCTGGGAGTGGCCAAGGCTGGGTCAGGGCAGTACCAGACATTTGCCTGGGATGGCTCACTTTCCTCCGGATGGCTCCTGAGCACATTCAGCACAGCCTCCTGGGCTCCGTCAGAACTCACGGCCCTGCCAAGCCTCCAGGGTCCCCTCTGCTCCCCCTGGGCTGTTTCCTTGACCTTCTCCTCCTCCAGCCCCACCCAGGGCCTCTCCGTCAGGGCTCTTCCCTTGGCGCTCGTCGGAGGAGGCCCTGCTGGACGGAGTCCCTGGGCTGCAGAGCCCTCTCTGTGTGGCAGAGGAAAGAATAGGCCATCTGCTACAGGGCTGCCCCGTCCCTGGCTTGTGTAGCCATGGGCATAAACACACTCTCTTTTTCCTCCTCAGGCAGCTGCAGCCTTCCAATGCCCGCAGGACCCACTGCCTCGCTCTGGCCATCGCAGACATCGTGTGGCGGGCCGGGGGCCATGAGAGAGCCGTGGTCACACTGTGAGTGCTTCCCAGGGCTGTACACGGGGCTCCACTCACGCGTTGGCCCAGCTGCAGGCAAGCTGGCTGTGCGCTTTCCTGTCCTCGGAATCGTCTTCCCACCCAGCTTGTCTGTGTGTCCTCCCGGACGCTAGCCCTGTGCCCCATGGCAGCACGAGCCCAGGGGGGCAGCCCCCCACAGGGAGAGGCCCAGAGGGGCCTCCACGGAGCTCCAGTCTCCTCTCTGCCTGGCCTTCCTCCCTGGGGAGCCTTGGGGGATGCATCCCATCTGAGAAAATCTCAGACCTCTCAGGAACCAGTCACCCTCTGCTTCATATGTCTCTCCTAGTCCCCGAAGCATGCTCCCTTTCACTTTGTCACTTGGACCCCCATTCCATGGAGGAAGAGACTTTCCCTGCCCCCTCTATCGCTACTGCAGGCCACATGGATGGTTTGCCGGCTCTTCAGTCAGGCCCTTCAGAGTGGAAGCATCACTTCATCCCAGGCCTGTGGCTAAGCTTTAGTAAAAGGGGTGCCTTTGGGGGCCAAAGACTACACTCCGGAGCTCCCCAGTGTCTTCATTCCTGGGCTCTGACCTGGTGGGTCAATAGAGCATACTGCTTAAGAGAAGGGGCTCCAGAGGCTAACTCCCAATGCTGTTGTTTATTGGCTGTGTGACCTTGGGCAGCTGACTCAACCTCTCTGTGCTTCATCTGTTTACTCATCTGGAAAATGCAGATGATAGCAAGGATCATCTGGTAGAGTGACTTGAGAATTAAATGAGTCAATATAAATAAATTATCTATAATAAATGGTAATATTATCTATCCATTTAAATCATTTATCCACATAAATAAATGGTAAATAATAATAAAAGTGAAGTACTTAGGACAATGTCTGGCACATACTAAGTACCATGTCAGTGTTAGATATTATTGTTCCTATGGAGCTTGTCCTCGGTCCTCGTGTTCCAGTGAATACGTTATTCCACATTAACCCTGGCCCTTAGCATCTGCATGGCAGCCCTGAAAGCCCATGGGGCAAAAATTCAGTTTCTCCCTGTTTTACAGATAAGCAGACAGAAGGCCAGAGAGAGGCAACAGCCGTTCCCAGCCTACGCAGCAGGCTAATGGCACTGTGGGCCCCACACCCAAACCCCGCTTCTAGTGCCCGCCTCACCGGGCTGCACATGCCTGGTGTGGTTGTAAACAGATGGTGATGGGGCTGGGGTGGGGAGCCTCAGGCCAGAGGCTGGAATTCCTCACGGCCCTGAAAGCTAAGGGCAAGTCAGCATTCCTTTGTCTGGAAATCTGTCAGTTGTGGGTGAGAGGCAGACTCGCTCGTGCCAGGACTTGGGTTTGGTTACCCCGAGCTCTCCTTCTGCCGTCTTTTCTCCATTCCTTTTCCCACCCCCACTCGTGGCGTCCTCTGGGCCCAGCCCAGTGGGTGAGTTCAAAGTGGAGGGGAAACGAGAAACCCTTGGTCCCATTCTTTCCTCCGGAGCCACCTTTTGATTTGTTCTCAGTTAATGGCACATGTGGTTTCACCCTGGCTCAAGGGCATGTCTTCTGTCCACGCACAGGACTCATGCATCTCCCTTTCCTTTTTAGGGCTTCAGGAACACAGCAGTTCAGTCCAACAGGGAAATACAAAGCAGATGGAGTCTTAGAAACAGTACGGCTTTCTGGAAAATTATCACGCAACCTTTGGCTTTGTTTGGGGACGGTCTCCTTTCATATAAGTAAATCCTCCCTCAGCTGGGGATGGGCCAGCCCTCCCTGCAGCCCAGGCTAGCGGATCCTCCACCTGGGATTGGGGTGGGGGCCGGGGTGGGGGGCTAGGGGGTGGGCTCTCGCCAGAACTGCCCTTGTGGCCGAAAGGCTGATGGGTGCCCGGTCACGTGGAGGCTGTACAGAGAAGAGCGGCCCGTGCGTGATGCCTTCTGGCCAAACCACAGCCGTCTCTGTCCCTCTCTGTCTCCTCAGCACCCTTGCCGGGGTTGTGAGGGGGCAGGGGGGTGGCATGGAGATGGAGGGGGGAAGTTAGAGAGTGGGGAACAGAACACCAGCCATGAAGCCAGACCTAGTTTGACCAAGTAAGGGAAAGAAATGGAAGACGTGAGGATACAGACACAGTGACATTTCCCACAAACGCGCCTCCTCTTCACAGAGGACTTTTATTTGACCTCCTTTGTTTCCTTTGACCTAAGTTTGGGCCCATGTGGCCCTGGGATCCTAATTAGGGATCTCCCCTGGTCAGGTGCTCTCTCTACAAGTGGTTTTTTTCCTGAGCTGCCTGAGAAACCAAAGGAGACTGAGACCCACGGCTTCCCACTGAACTCAGGACAGTGAGTTGGGCTCAGAGCTGGCCCGGCAGTGGCCAGTTGGATGGGATACCCACCCCGGCCCCCCGTGCACCCCCAGGTACTTCTCAGACACCTGTGACTGGCCCGCAGGGGTGCAGCCACGTGTGATGCTGGCTCCTTCACTTGAGCTCCCCGGTGTCTTCATTCCTGGGCTCTGTAGGCCTGGTGCAGATGGCAGGGCGGACTTGACCCCGGAGACCCCAGCTGGGCCCTGTCTGCCTTTTAAGTCACACGCAGGCATGGGGGTGCCTCACTGTCCCGGCTCCCGAGGTCGCTACTGTGACTGCAGGGACATTCTCGAGTGGGGTCTTGTAGCTACCGGAGCCAGGGTGGGACATGGAAGCATCTGTGGGGCTCGGGCAGCTCATGCTGTGGGTTCGTGTCTCCTCAGCTCACACTGCACAGTTTGACCTGCTACGAGGAGCTGGTGACTTTTCTTCAAGAAAGCATCCATCAGGTATGGACAATGGTTTATATGGGGGTTGTGTGTTGTTAAGCCATCTGCTCTCTTTGGTGGGGACCCTGCTGGATACAAGACCTTGCTTGGTGTTCTGGCTGGCTGGCTGGGTCCTCCAGCACCCTGTCTGCTGGAGGGGATCTGTGTACCCACTCCTTGCTGTGAGATGGGGTAGCACATGTCCAGGGCCTGAACAGCTCAGAGTGCCATGGGGATTCAGAGAAGGGTTGTAGCCTGGCTGGCTTTGTGGAGGAGGGAGTGAAGGCTCCATGGTAAAGGATATGATCTCTGGAGCCCTCAGCCTGGGTTTGAATCTAGGTTTCACCCCTTACATAGTAGCTCTGTAACCTTGGGCAACTTCTTTAGCCCTCCTATGCCTCAGTTTCCTCATCTGTAAAATGGGGCTGATAACAAGAGTACTTAGAACTAGCGTGCTGGGCTTGATGTTGTCATTGACTTTAGCTTTTGTTGTTGACGTTATGATCACCATTAGCGTGATTATTTAAGGCCCCCTTGAGATTGGTTAGCTGGACTTGTGGAAATGAGGGGGACGCCTTACAGGGGCAGGGTGCAGCACAAGCCAAGGCCAACAGATGACCTCTGAGATCCCCAACCTCAGGGTCTCATTTTCTGATGTCTGTGTGTCAGGATGGAAGGAAAGAAAGAGCGCCAAGCCTTTCTGTCCCAGTGTGCAAGCAAATACCTCCTCTGTGCCTTTCCTTCAGCCTTCTGAGCTGTGGGACCAGCTCTTTGAGGCTCCGGAGAAGGCGACCGAGGATTTGCTGGTGAGCCCGGAGGGTGGGAGAACTTGTCAGATATGGGACCAGGCTGAACACTCCTGCTGTCAGAATACTCTCCTCTTGTTCCCCGAAGGCACTGAGGGTCTGGGCATAGCCTAGGAAGAGTGCCAGCCCTGATCTCACAGATGCTTCTTGGGTAGGAAAATGGGGCCTGCTCGGAGACCCTTGGGAGGCAGGGGTGCAGTCAGTAAGACACTGATTCACCCCACACTTTCTGCCCCAGAGCTGTTGCCTAGGGATAATTCAGCCCAAGGAGCCTGGCCCATGTTCTCAGCTTAGGATGCTGCCTTTCTGCACTGACTGTTCCGTCTGGCCTTTCTGGGAGGTGCGAGGGAGGGGCTCTGATGTGGGAGGGGTCCTGGCCTCAGCCAGCCCTCCCTTGCTCCCTGTCCCTGGCTCCCTCTGGTTCTTCATGGGCGTAACCCAGTGGGCTGTGTGCTGATGCAGCCTGCTCACCGGCTGGCCCAGAGCAAAAGGGGCCTGGGGCCCTCCTCTGGCTTAATCCTTGGCCACATGTGGCCTCAGGAACATCACTGGGCCTCAGTTGCCTCGCCTAGAAAACAGAAGATGGAGCAGTCAGCAGCTCTTTATTGTCCAACAGAGGTTTTTAAAGAAGAAACTTAAATGCATGGAAAAGAATGTCTTCTAAATTAAGCAGCATGCGCCATCTAAATAAGCAGAAAGGATCCTACTCTTAACTGCACTCAGAGCGTTGTGAGAATGCAGCAATGCATCCAAGAGCGGAGCAGAGCCTTATTACCTCGGTGTGTGTGTTTGGATTGGGGGGGGCAGGCCCCCGGGCACCTGTGTTAACACCCAGGAGAGGGAAATGCCCTGGGAGGCTTCTAGGGGACAAAGGAGAGTCCTGGGGCAATTGCTTGCAGGCTCCAAGGGACTGTCCCCACCCACGGATGGCTCCGGCCGGGGTGATGCCTCTGCACCCAGGCTTTCTACATCCTCATCTGTGAAATGGGGTCTCCCTTTTCCCTCAATCCCTACCCTAGGGTTTTGGTGAAGCCCAAGCAAGACAGCGACTATGGAAACCATTCAGAGTTTGGGGCGGTGCCAGGGGAGGGGCCGCCTTCTTCCTGTCGTACCTCTGGACCCAGAGCGACTCCCCCTCCTCACTTGGCTCTAGTCCCTCTGTGCCTGTGGTCAGTCTTTGGCCCTCCTCACCCGGGAAGGTGGTGTTTCCCCCACCGTTTAATTATGTTTTTGCTGGAAGCCGTTGAGCTGCCTCAGCACCACCCTCACCAAATTCATTTTTCATGGCCTGGGCCTAAGAGGGGTTCCTTGCGCCAGGCCTGGAAATGAGCACTCTGCCCAAAATAAATAGCCTCCTTGCTGTGTTTTCATTCCTGCTCACCCTCCGGGCGGGAGGTCTGGCCGCCCCCTGCGAGCCGGCGAGGCCCCCGCCCTGGCCTCCGATTGGGGTTCCAGGGTGGGCTTCAGTCTCTCCAGGGCCCAGCAGTGCTGGAGAACGGCCCCTTCTTCCCAAGCCATACCAGACATTTTTTCTGGACCCTCACGGCGGTTTCCGGCCCCAACTGCCTGTCTGGGGAGCTCTCCTTACAATGCAGGCACCTTGCCCCGTGGCCTCCCATGTCTTGGCAGCTTGAGTTTGATGAGATAATTTTACTGAGTGTTTTTTGTAAAACAAAATGGAATATTGGTGCCATTCAGTCGTGTTCGGCAGGGGCCAGCAGCCCCAGGCAGCGTCCTTTCTCCCCGTTCTGTCATCGCACTAAGCAGCCCACATGGAGGGGCTCGCGCACGGCTCCTGGACAGCTGTCCTTGAGGGAGTCCCGAGGACCGTGGACTACACTGGCCTGTGTAGTACCAGTAGTCCTCCGTGTTTACACAGATGCAGGACATGCAGCGGGCTCCCGTGTCCCCTGCTTCATGGGGGCGGAGGGGAACAGACCAAGAAAGTGTCATGGCTCCCCCAAGACAACGTGCGAGTCCATGGCAGTGGTTGGGTGGCTTTTCAGAAGGAGAGCCTTTCAGATGGAGAGCTCTGTCACTCCCCAAGGCAACACGAAAGTCCGCAGGAGAGTTGTGGCAAGGATACTGGTCCTCCCAGGCCCATGTCCCCCAGTGCAAGGATATCAGTAGGACTCTTTGCAGTGACCAGAGCACTTCCACAGACTTGGTCTCACAGACTGTGCACCGGAACCCAAGGAAAGATGCAAGGATGGGATTATCATCCTCGTTTTGCAAATGGGGAAACTGAGGGCAACAGAAGCGAGTGACTGGCCTGAGATCAGAGAATTATGATGAGGTTGATTTAAGATAGTTGTTGATTCATTTATTTCACTTCCAATCCCCCCAAAAGATTCTGTTATTGATAACTTTATAAAAATAAGAAATTAATTATATAAAAATGATGTCTTCAGGGCTCTTTTGTGCTCCAACCATAGTAAACCTGCCCTCTCTTGCCTCTGGGCCTTTGCACGTGCTTTTCATCTTGCCTGGAACAACGTTTCCTTCTCTTCTGATTCTTTCTTGTCCTTTGGATTTAGATATCACTTCCTCCAGAAAGCCTTCCTTTACATTCCTTCCTTCCCTTAACCCTGAGTCTGCTTGAAGGCCCTCTCTGCGTGTTTCCAGAACACCTTGCCTTTCTTGTCAGAGCAGAGCCCCTCCCTCACTCTTTTCTAGGTGCTTCTTCTTTCTTCCCTGAGTTACTTCCCATGAAGGCAGATCCATGTCCACCTTGTTCACAAGCATAGCCTCAGTAGGGAGCATCCTCTTGGCACGAAAGTTCACACAGAAAAATTTTTTTAATGACTAATCGAATTACTGTATGAAACTAGAGACTATGTTTTGAAGGAAAGAAAAGATAATTTTATCAGAAGCTTGAGCCGAAATAATTACCACAGTTGAGGACCATATTTGGCTTGGAGCTTCCTGGCAACCCAGGCAAAATGGAAATATGATAAATTATATCATTCTTACGGTTTCAGGAAAACAAGCTTCTTTAGGTCTGGTTTCAAGTCCACAAAGAAACTGACCACACGTAAGGAACACTGACTCTAGTCTGGCAGCATCTGCCATCACAGCTCACAGATGGGGACAGGTGTCATCCCCAAAGTGGGATAAGTAAGGCCTTCACGTGGAACCGCAGCTGGGGGCTGGCGTCTGTCTAGGGAGCCCGAGTGACCCAGCCCATCCCGTGAATAGAATACTCACAGGCCATGTTCTACGGGCTTCACAGGGGTAATCTCACTGACTCTCCACAACAGCCTGATGAGGGTCGGTCCTACTATCATCAGCCTTGTTTTATAGATGAGAAGACGGGGACAGCAAAGTTAGGGAAGGTCGCTGTGCTCACTTAGCTTAGGAGTGGCACAGCCAGGATTGAAACCCAGGCAGCCGGGCTTCGGGCGGTGGGCTCTAACCCAGAGTTGGGACTAGGGGGAGATGAATAAGGTGTCCATCTTGGGGGCAGAATTCAAGGAGGTACCAAAATCCTCAGTAATCAGCAAAAATAATATTTTTAAAATATCAAAAATAATAAAAAAAAATCCACAATGAACAAAATACCAACAATTTTTGAAAGACGGGATCTGTCCTTGCACTTGCACGGTTCACCTCACTCTCCCCGCCGACCCTGACTCTGTCCCCCACCTGCTCTCTGCTGCTCTTAAGACAGTGCAGGTCTTTGGAGTAAGGGATTCGGAATCCGATTCGGAATCACAGCGGTGTGACCTTGGGCCAGGTGCTTGGCATCTGGGCCCATTTCCTTCTGTGGCAGAGGGCAGGATTAACAGTACTGTCACACAGGCCGGTGGCAGTTTTCAGTGTGATGAGGCACATAAGACGCCTGCACGGTGAGGGAGGCTGCCCCGCTGCTGTATGGAAGCTTCCAGGACTCGGACGTCATGGGTGTGCTCCTTGGTGGGCAGTGTCGCTCTTGTCACCCAGGCTGGTGTGCTTCCCATCACTTAGGGGCCCTGTCGTGGAGCCCCCTGGCAACCTCTGGGACCGGGCTGGCGGCAGCTGGCTCAGGGTCAGGCTACTCCCTGGGTGTGCCCCCACCCCCACCACTCCCCAAGGAGGTGAGAGGAAAGGGAGTGCAGACCTGGTGGGTGCTCATTGCTTTCTCTTCTTCCCAGTTCGAAGCGGGTCCCTACGGATGCATCCTGCTCACGCTGTCTGCCATCCTGTCCAGGTCCACAGAGCTGTGAGTCTCTTCCTCCCTCAACTCCTGGGCTGGGCTTGTCTGTCTGGTTCACTGCTGCCCCCGACCCGAGCCCAGGGCCACGCTTGGTGCATAGTGGGCGTGTAGTGAGCGTGGTTGAGAGGGTGAAGGAAGTAGTGGAGTGGGGGATGGTCAGTGGTGGGGGGAGAGCAGTTACGTGTGTGTTCAGAGCTACCTTGTCAATCTCCCCATGTACGCTGCGGCTGACTGGAGAGACACCCTTGCCCACAGAGCTTACGGTCCCCCTGGGGCCCTGGTGGAACGGCAGTGTGTGCATACTTAAGCACACGTGTGGACGCTCTTGGGACATGTGTGGGGATGGGCAGTTGAGGCAGAGGCCTGGGAGATGACTGAGGGCCCCCACAAGCTCAGGAAGGGGGGGCTTCACTGTAGGCCAGGGCAGTTGGAAAGCTGCAAGGTTTGTGTCCAGGGCCAGCCCTGAGGACACTGGTGGGCGGGTGCCCAGGGGCCTTGGAAGCAAGAGGACTTCAATTCCATGCAGCCTTATCAAATGCAGCCTCCCGAGCTGCCTGAGAGCTGCACTTTCTCCATCACGCTCATCCTCCACGAGCTTTCTAGGCCTCTTATCCATATTTGTCACCTGGGCATTATGTCACCAGGGAGGGTAGCAGATTAACAGCACGTTAACAGTTTCGTAAAGTACAATTGATTACTGCTTCCTTTTCCAAGTAGAGAGCAGACTCTAGAGGGCATGGGGGACCTGGGGAATGAATTTTCACTTTAGGGGATGCTTGCTGGCAGGGGCTGATTTGGGAACAACCCCAAGCAGGTGGGCCTTGAGGAGTGGGGAGGCAGAAAGAATAGCTATGTGGTGCCCAGGCTGGGGAGGCCCTGGCAGAAGGAGACGCTTGCTCCCCGTGGCTGGGCCTGTCCCATTCCCTGCGGGCTCTGGCTTGGGTGGGAGGAGGGCGCGGGGGCTCTGTGGCCTCGTGCCGCCAGCCTGCTTGCTGCTCGCTGCTGCTGACCTTATTAAATGTGGTGCATGCATAGATCTTCTAATGGCATTTTTCTTCTAATCCTGCCATAATGATATGATTCATTCCTGGCCGGAGCTCACGTGCATGGAGACCATAAGCCGCACCGCCTTCTCCCCAGGCCTGGGTTTGCTAATCCCTGGCTGCCCAGGTTGAGTGAGGGTCTCTGGGTGTGTGGGTGAGACCCTGGAGCTCACGGAGGGGAAGCTAGGCTGTCAGAAGGGCCAGGCTTGGTGACATCTGGCTGTGTGATCTCTTGGGCCTCAGTTTCCCCATCTGTACAGAGGACCACTGGCTCTGGAGGTCTAGGACTCTGATCAGAGTGTCTCTGCTCTGGTGGTCACCGGGGCAGCTCCTGCAGGACCTGCTCACCGGCCTGGGAGCTGTTTACATGTGCACCCCTGTAGGGAGCAGCTCTGGTGGCCCTCTCCATCTGCAGGGGCCTTCAGAGCCCCATGTCCAGGCTACTCTTCTCGTTGTCCCGAGCTGGAGGACTTGGGCTGCTTCTGCCCCTTCCCTGCCCCATCCAACCAAGCCAGGCAGGGGTCAGTCCCTGCCCAGGCTGTGGCACCTGCGGGGCATCTGGAGGTAGGGGGGAAGGCTGCCCTGCTGGGCCTGCACAGCCTCATGCTAATAGGCCACAGTCCTCCCCTCACCACACACACGCAGACATGCAGACACACATACACACAGATTCACAGACACAGACAGACACACAGATACACAGGTACTACGTACACAGATATGCAGATACACATACCCGCACACACTGACATAGACCCAGGCATACACATCCACACACACAGAGACACAGAGATACACACAGACACGCAGACACACACATGCACACGAAGACAGACAGACACACATACAGATGTACAGACAGACAGACACACACGCAGACACAGGCACACAGACCACAAGATCTGGCTGGAGTCACCTCCTTCCCCTTGTTCTCAAGACAGAGGAGTGAAATTGTATAAAGATGATCTCCCTCCCACTTAGGGCTCCTGAGGACATTCCTGGGTCCCGGAGGCTGATGGTGTCGGAGCCCCCAGGGGCAACTTTGGCCGGCCTGTCCCCTGCCTTCCAGGATGCTTTAGCACTGGACCCAGCAGAACACTGGTTGGGCTTGTCTTACTCCTGGGCCTCCCCTTTCCTTCTAAGAAGGCAACGTAGAGGACCCTCTTATCAGCAGTAGGAACGAGAGTAAGCAACACCTAGTAACCTTCCTGTGTACCCGATCCTATGCTGCAACATTTTACACCGGAAACTTGCTTCATCCCCTTACAGCCCTGTTAGGTGGCACTGTGATTCCTATCAGCCTCCCCGTCTTTCAGATGAAGAAACAAGCCTGGCCCCAGGCTCACACAGCTCAGCCCAGACAGCAGGGCCCCAGACCAGGCTCTTTGGGTTTGCCGCTTGGTTTCAGGCCTGAGTCTCTACTCTTTTGAGTCTGAGTTTCTCACTCTGGGAAAGGGGGATGATAATTCCTGCTTTACAAGATCAAATGAAGATTTATAGGTCGAGTGCTTGGCTCGGCTCCTGGTAGGTAGCAAGCCTTAGGTGATGGCCACTGCTCGTCTGACCCTGTCACAGCTGTGCTCAGAGGCGTCTTGTGTCCCATCCTGTCGTGTCTTGCCCTCAGTCTTGGCTTGGTGCCTGGTGGTGGAGACATGACCACGGGGATGTCCTGCAAGTGGAGATGGGTCCACAGGTGGTGGTGCTCACCCCGGCAGGCACGTCCTCAGTGGCCCGGGGGGCTCCCTGGGTGCTCTGTTCTGTTGCTCGGGGGGCAAGAGAAGGGGAGGTGGGAGCCTGCCCTGGGAGTACGCCACCCAAAGCTGTGCTTGAGAAAGACCCTTACCTCTGTCTTACTTGTTCAAGTTCAAAACCACTTCTAGACAGACTGAGGGCTTCGGGTGGGGAATGGGGCAGGCTTTGGGCACAGGGCTGCTGGTGACATGGAGTGGAGCCGGTCACTCCTGCCTGTGGTCTGGGGGGACTCCCTGGAAGGGGTGGCGGCATGAGGGGAGAGACAGACCAATGGTGAGCAGGAGAGTGGCCTGTCGAAATGGTGCCTGGATCCTGTGAGAGATTCACACTGACATTATTTACAATAACACCTTAGCCTTCCTGGCATTTCCAGGGCTCCTCTGAAGGAGCTGTTCTCTGGCCTTAGAAGGGGAGCTCCCAGAATGGCCCACACCTCCTCCGTGCCCTTCACACACTCCAGAGGTGCTTCCCAGAGCCTCTGGTCTCCGTTCTCAGGACAGATGCCAGACCTGGCCGCAGACTTGCTGTGATTTCCTTGGCAGTGACGACAGTCCTGGGATGGTGAAAACCCACTTCACCCTGGCCTGCAGCAGGGGCCGGCAGCTTGCAAAGGGCACATGGGGCAGATGCCATCCAGCACAGGCTCCATTTGTCAGGCTGAGCTGATAGGCTCGTCTAGGGCAGCCCAGTGGGTGACAATTCACACGAAAGCATCCCACTCATTGGCTGAGCTGTAGCTTCAGGATGCCTGGGTCCCCATCTCTGCTCTGCTGCCAACATGCTTATAGCTGACCCAGCCTGCACCTTCGGCCCTTTACCTCTAACAGGGGGGAGGCAAACCAGTGCTTCTTAAACTCTTCCTGTAGCGAACCTGAAATCTGACCTTTTTCCAAACAAACTATAAAAAGCAGATGCAGCAGGATTAGAGTCGGGCGAGGGGGGAGGCAGAGACCCCTGCATGCCCCTCCCCGTCTCCCAGCCTGGCCCCAGGAGACCCCTGTTTGGAGAAGCCCCAGCTCTGCATACACAGCTTACCAGCTGTAGGACCAGACGATCCCCGAGGGCCTTCCTGCTCTGGAGTTCAGATTCAGCCTCACCAAACCCTTTGATGCCGTGTCAGGGTGATCTGTTACTACTTTGGGCAGTTGAAAACATGTCCTGGTGGCCCGGAGAGAGCTGTTTCTCAGATCATGTGCTGTGCAGTGGCCAGGGAGAAGCTGAGTAGGGGGCTGGGAGTCCCCCGGCTCTTCACAAGTATAGCATGTCCGTGTGCACTCATGTTGGTGTGTGCGTGGGTGAGGGATCCGTGAAGTGGCAGGGCTGGGTGTGAGATTATGTGGCTGTTGGTGGGGATGTTGGAGATTATGTGAAGGTGACTTGATTGTGTGAGTGTATGTGTGTCTGAGGGCATGGCCATCCCTCCCTCCAAGTGAGGGCTCTCAGACGCCTGCCTGAGGCCCAGGGGCAGGCCTTGTGCCCAAGTCAGTGCCTCTTGTCCATCGGCTGTTCCCAGCTCTGGGGGGAGCCAGGGTGAGGGAGCCAAGGGCAGACGCGAACGCAGCCCGGCACAGCCTGGCCACTTCACCCTCAGAGGCCAGAAGAACAGTAGCAAAGCTGGCCTTTTGAGTTTTGTTTACCGGGGCTGACTGCGAAGCCTTGGGAAAGTTTTATTTTTTTCCACTTGATTTCCAGCCACCTATTTTCCTTCCTAAGATCTTGAGTTGCCTACAGTAAATCTCATACAGGCTTTCATGCTTACCTAGCCCCACCGCTTTCCAAACCACATGGCCTAGAACTTTCCCCAGCATGCTCTCACAAGTCCCAAAGACGCTTGGGGCCCTGGGGTCGAGGGCCAGCTCAGAGCCAGACCTGCGCAGTGCAGCGCAAGGGTGCCCCAGCCCCCAGGGAGCCAGCAGTGAGCCAGGGCCTGGCACGAGGGAGGGCTCCGGAGATGCCCACTGGGTGGCTGAGAACTGGCTGGTGAGGGGAACAGCCTGTGAGGAGACCCTTTTCATGCCTCACACCCGTGGCACTCATTGCAGTGGCAATGTGGGCCGGCCAAAGGCAATCTTGAAAGTCCAAAATAGGCAGTAGTTTGCCATCTGCTGAAGTAATTTTTGAACAGTGCAAGCCAGACCCTGAGCGTGAGGGGCAGCACTCCCACCATGGTGGCTTTGTGGCTCTCTGTAACTTTCTCCAGGAGAGGAAAAA